AAGATATTTCTTTGTTGCTTTGTATGTCCCTCTCCCATGGTATAACCCCTGTTTTCACTGTATTTGATGTTGGTATAATTCATGGAGGGGAAGGGAAAAAACAAATCGTTTAAACAGGATACAGGTGGACCCATTGCAACAATGAGATGTACAAGATGTTATGTCAAAAAACCAACTTTACAACTTTGGCGGGGCAGGGGGGAGGATAGGGAGGTCGTGGGGAGGGGAAATGGGAATGGATGGGAAGGGGAAACAAAGGAAGAGGCAACAATGCTTGATAAGAAATGTACTCATTACCTTGCCCATGTAATTGTAACCCCTCAGTATGGTATTTTCCCAAATATATATATATATATATATATATATATACTCATTACCTTGCCCATGTTAATTGTTACCCCCTTGTACAGTATTTTGACAATAAAAAATGAATAGAAAAAAAGAATAAGGACAGAGCAAATACAAAAAAAAGAACAGAAAACAGTATTTATTGTTTTTATCTTAGAATCAGGATGGAGAGGAGACAAGGTTCTCATCCTAACCATTGAGAAGTAAATGCATCTTCCTCAGGGCCAGATATACTTCAGATATCTCCAATGTCTTGGCTTCATACCTAGAGACAGCACACCGGTGTTTTCTGGCACCAAAAAGCTAAATTGAAGGACTGAAGGCAACTACACCCAGTTAGACCACTTGGGAAGATAAGAAGAATTTTATTATCCTTTTGGACCAAAGCAATTAACTCTAGATCAAATTAGTTCTAGACCAATGCAAATGACTCTAGATAGGACCCTATAGCATGTAAAGTCTCAAGTTGCTGGGCAATTTACAAAAGCTGAAAACTCAAGTTTAGCTCTCCACCCAAAGATCTGGCATGTAATAAGCATAATGTAAGTGTTAGTTATATAACTATAATACAATTAACAAAATAATGAAGGTAAGAGCGGAAAGCTAAGAAATGCAAAAGGCATGTAAGGAATGACAAGATACTGAAAAATAAAATTGACTCACCCCTAAAGTGAATAAGCAAAAAATAAAAAGATGTGGCACAAATGAGCAATGTTCATGCCAGAAGAGAAGGGAGATTTACAGATTACTGAGACTGGAAAAATGAAAATACTTTGAGCAACTTTTTAGTAGTATTACATTGGAAGGAACTATGGTCTATGTTGATATTATCTGGTAAATTTAAGCCCATGCATGCTCTGTGATTCAGGAGTTTTGCTTCTAGGAATATCATCTAAAAATAAAAAATCAAAAATGAAAGAAAATTTTGTACATGCATTCTAAAAAGGTAACACAAGACTGCTCATGTAATCACTGTTCAGAATACTAAGACAATATCAATGTTTGTGTGAGAGGATAAATACTGAAGTTGTATTCATATAACAAAATATGGATCAACTCTAAAAAATTGACATATAGTATCTATTTTCTATATAGCAACTCTATCAAATCTCACAAACATTATAGGTCCAAACAGGTCATTTTCAAACTGCAGCATGATATTATTGATTTAAATTCAATAACAACTAAAAGTAGGTAAAGTATCATTTGGGAATGGATTTCCATATTTATATAGTGAATATATTGAGAAAATTGAATGAATTATAACTGAAACATTTAGAGTAATGATTATCTAGAAAGAAAGCTGAAAGAATGAATTTAGAGTACTGACAGAATCATTTGTATACTTTAAGAGCATTAAAAACTCAAATTTTTATGGTTTTTCAATTTCCATCTTATGAACATGTTCTACAACTTACATAGACATCATCCTTACTATTTTGTATGTAAGCTAGCTCAATACCCAAAGACAATTTGGTAAAGAAAGAGAAGAAAGAAGTATGAGAAGGAGGATGAAGAGAGAAAGGGAGGGGAGAATGAGGAAAGGTAGGAGGGGTTACAGTTACAATGAGTAAGGTAATGAGTACATTTCCTATGGAGCATTGTTACCTCCTCCTTTTTTTTCCCCCTACCATCCCTTCCCTCCCCACCTCTCAAATTCTCCCTACTCCCCCTTTCCTGAAGTTGTAAAGTACATTTTCAACATGTATTGTACATCTCATTGTTACAATGGGTCAACCTGTATCCTTATTTCAGCATTTTGTTATTTCCCTTCCCCTCACCAAATTATAAAAATGTATATGCAAGATGCTGGGCATTGGAATCAAATACAGTGAAAACAGGGGCTATACCATTGGGGAAGAACATACCAAGGAACCAAAAAAAAAAAATCACATAGTACCTTATAAATACATTAAAAACAGAAAATTTCTTACTTTGGGAGTTAGGTTAGACCAGAACACAACCTAAAATTCTTAGAAACAGCTTTACTAGTGGTATGCAATCTATACTTCCATGGTTTGTTGTTGTTGTTTTATTTTTTATTGTGAAAACACCATATAGAGGTTCAGAGGGGTTACAATTACATGGGCAAGATAATGAGTACATTTCTTATCAAGCATTGTAGCCTCCTCCTTTGTTTCTCCTTCCTATCCCTTCCCATTGCACCTCCCTTCCCTCTCCCCCCACCCCCCGCCAAAGTTGTAAAGTTTGTTTTCCAACATAACATCTTGTACATCTCATTGTTGCAATGGGTCCACCTGTATCCCTATTTAAACGATTTGTTTTTGCCCCTCCCCTCCACAAATTATACCATCATCAAATACAGTGAAAGCAAGGGTTATACTGTGGGGGAGGGACATACAAAGCAACAAAGAAGTCATCTTATAAATATGTTAGAAACAATTGCATGAAACCAAAAACATTTGAATACTTATCTTCAGGTTCATTTCATCTAACATCAACTTATCTGACCTTTTCTGTTTGTCTCAGACATATGCTAGTTATTGCAAATAAGGAAAACCACCCCATCACTAAGATTTTGAAATGAGAAAGCATCTTTTTCATGAACATTTGCTGTGCCAAGCTGACTCACTCATATTTCCTACCCCAAATCTTTTTTAGGTTAGGAACAGGTACTGGGTAGCCCTCAGGGATAGTAGGAATGACATAGGATCCTTTGTTTAGCCCCAAACAGGGCCTGGCCTCAACAGTGGGCAGCTCTTTGGAATGTGAGCAGTTAATATCATTTTGACTTTAGTTGCCTGTTTGGGACATAGTGAATATCCTTTTAATTTTACACTGATCAAGGTTATGAAAGAAATCCTAAAGTTGGTATGAAAGCTTAGAAAAAGATTTGTACTTATACATTATGGGTCGAAAAAAGAATTATGATATGTGAATAACTCTTCACAAAGTCTTATTTCACAAGATGTCTCTTTTTTATTTTAAACAAAAGGGGAAAGTTTGTTTCACGGGTTTTAATCCTGCAAATCACATCTTCCTTCTCCCTGGTGTTAATGTTCCATGTAATGCTAATTATATGCACATGTGTAATTAATTTAAATGTTAGAGAATTCAAAGCTGTCTTCATTCCTCCCTCACATAGAGCTCCCCTATGACCCAGCAATCCCACTTTTGGACCTTTACCCAAATGTTCACAAGCAAGGCTATACTAAAGCTACCAGCATAATTATGTTAATCACAGCATTATTTGCCATAGTTAAGATATGGAACCAACCCAAATGCCCCTCAGTAGATAAATGGATCAAGAAAATGTGGAATATATATATACAGTGGAATTCTATGCCGCCATCAAGAAGAATGGCATTGCCCCATTTGTTAGGAAATGGAAAGATTGGAAAAAATTATATCAAGTGAAGTAAGCCAAGCCCAAAGAAACATAGGTCCCATGGTTTCCCTTATTTGCAATAACTAGCATAAATCTAAGACAAGCAAAAAAGTCAGAAGCTATGCACATATGACCAGGTAAGATGAGGTTAAGTGAAATGAACCCCAAGATAGGGACACAACTGGTTTTTTTTCTTTCTTGCTATTGTTTTTAACGTATGTATAATGTACTATGTGATTTTTTTTTCTTTTGTATGTTCTTCCCCCACAGTATAGCCCCCACTGTATTTGATTCCAATGCTCTGCATCTTGTATATACATTTTTATAATTTGGGGAGGAGAAAGGAAATAACAAAATGCTGGAATAAGGATACAGGTTGACCCTTTGTAACAATGAGATGTACAAGACACTATGTTGAAAATGAATTTTACAACTTTGGGGGTGGGCGGAGGAGTTGTGGAAGTGGGGTGGGAAGGGATGGTAGGGGGAAAACAAAAGAAGAAGTAACAATGCTCAATAGGAAATGTACTCATTACCTTACTCATGTGACTGTAACCCCTCTGTACAGTATTTTTACAATAAAAAAAAGAAATAGAAGAAACTACATTACATCCCTAGGCTTCATAACAGACTGAGAAATGAGTGGTAAAACCATATTTCACAGGAAAATCTAAATTGACTTCTCAGGTTATGAATAGTTGATTATGGTAGGTACAGTTCAGAAATAGCCCTATCTTAACTCATTTGGAAAAGGCAGCTATTCATTATATTGAGTCTAACAGCCAGGAAAGAGGACAGAAAAGGCATCGTTTTGAGCTGTCAAGCTTAACACATACATACAGAGCAAATAGTAGCGCTACTCTACAGCAGAATTCAGCCTTTTCTATATCTTACTGGGAAGGATATGTGGCCCACAAAAGTGTTTACATATCCTGTGCATATATTATCAGCACAAGGACAAATTAAAATGCTTTCTTTACGAGGATGACAGCATTCTGAGACTCACCGTTATTATGTCACCTCAATGTGTAGCCACCAACTTAGAACGGAGGAAAGACCATTAATTTTTTTTATGCTCTTTGCACAATATTTTGCAGAAATGGCAGTAATCCTGGGAATATCATGTTTCCCCTATCAAAGTCATCTTAAGGATGAGTCCCTGTGTTTTAACTTAAAGAGACTTGCTGGGGGCAAACACTCATACCTAATAAAATTTAATGGGACAGTGAACAAAATGCAGCCGTCTGTATTGAAGGGGAATCCTGTTCCACAGAGAGCTGGGGAGGAAAGAACAAAAGCTTACCTTTATGATGGTTTGCACTGGATACAACTTTCCCCCACAAGGTGACAATAAAGATTATTATTAGCAGTTTTCCTTTTGTTGCTTTCTGCAAGTATCTCTTATTCATCCTGCAGATAAAAAATAAATAAATAAAAATCCTAAGTATGTGAAATCATTGTGTTTCCATTATAGTTGTCCTGTATTGGAGCCTTCCATAGCATTTCAGCACTTATTTCCTGAAGACTCTATCCTTGGCTTAAAAACACTGCTTGCTGAACATAACTGATGTTTGGTTTTGTGATTGTTATTTGTCTTATTTCTTATTTTTCAGCTAGCCTTGATCTCAGGTTTCTGTTCCCAAGTTTGGGGATTGTCAGCTTCCCAAGTTTGGGGATCATTATGGTTGCTGTTATTATTATCATCTTTAAGTAGTTGTACAAAGGAGTTTCGATTCAATATGTCAATTTATAAGCACAATGTATCTTGAGCAATATCAGCCATTCCATCATTCGCCCCCATCTCTCCCAAGCCCACCCATCTCCTCAGTTTGCCTAGTTCTATTTTCACATAAGGTCCTGAGTCACCATTCTGTTCATAAAGTATGAAAATATATTTAGAATATATTATCATATTATATTATAATATATTATTATTATATATTTAAAATATATTATTTTACATTTTGCAAATATTCTTCCTAATGTCAAGCGAAGTTATTAAAATAAATACTTTAGGCAAAATGGCATAAATCCCTACACATAATGAAAGCATTCAAATTTATTATTTGTAATGGATCTTTAAAAATCATCTAGTAAAGCAGGCTTTGGTGGCTCACACCTGTAATCCTAGATCTGAGGACGGTGGTTCGAAACCAACCAGGACAGAAAAATCTGTGGGATTCTTATCTCCAATTAATCAGAAAAGCCAGAAGTAGCGCTATGGCTCATGTGATAGAATGCTAGCCTTGAACGCAAAAGTTCAGGAACAGCACCCAGGCCCAAAGTTAAAGCCCCAAGAACTGGGATGAGGGGTTGGGGGAGGTAAAACAGCTTCCTTATTGTAAACAAATCTGATCTATCTAACATGTACAAGCCTGCTCCTGAAAACACAATATTGCTAAAATCTACCTTATTGGTCCGATCATAAGTAAGAGAAAATTAAAAAGCAGAATTAAAAAATCCAAGTTAACATTTCCAAGTTGAGCCCATAAAACTCAGAAAAGTGTAAAAATGATATACTAGCACAATAGAGCTACCAGTAATAAAAATTCAGCACTTAACTTTCTCCAGCACTTTACACATTATATATTTTGTTCTTCAGACCAAATTTAAAGCATGGGTATGTTCATTTCCATGTCGTAGCTGGTGCAATTTGAAATTTTTCTTCATTTAATAATAGTGTAAAAATCCCAACTCAGAATGATAGAATTCTAAAATCCTACCACAAATCACTGCATTGCTCAGGGAAAAGCAAAACTAACATGGAACAAATCTGTATGTATGTGTTTATGAGGGTGATAAAATCTGTATGTGTCGGCTAGAGTATTTTACATTTAAATCCTATGCTGAATTATAATTGTATTTGTCCTATAGATTCCTATCTTCTCAGATTCTAATGTAACTTCCTGGAGCTACATCCTGATCTACTCTAATTCTTCTTCCTCTTGAATTCTGTAGGTTAATTTTTCTTGTTTCACCTTCAAAGCATTCCTTTTCCCAAAAATATGACTCCATGGTAGTAATGTTGAGTGTATAATTTAAAGAAAGCTTTTACATGTATAAATGCATGAAAAATAAAGTAATATATTACATATTTTGAAAGATATAATGTTAATATTTTTGCTTATAGAAGTTGTACAAATTAATCCATATTCCAGGAAGGCAGTATTAGAGGATTATAAACATTAACTTTTGAGTCTGACTATTTGGGTTTGGATCCAGATGCTACCAGTTTCTAAATATATAACTTTTAAGTAAATTATTTTTCTTAGATATTCTGCTTAAATATCTCTTCTAACTTTTGGATCTCCTGTTTCAGTTTCTTCTACCATAATCTGTAAATGAAATAATGTATGTGAAATGTCTGTCCCACCGATTTTCATGTTCAGACGGCATAATGATTATAACACTGATTATAAAAATCCTTGTTAATAATAACCTGTTTGTTCTTGGAAATGCTGGAAGGCTAAGTTCCATTCATGACACAAATCAGAGGAGTCTAAGGAGCACCCATGGTTGCAAAAGTTCCATTTAACTTTGTCTCATGACAAGCCAAAAACAAAATACAATGGGTTCAGTGTTAGCATACTTGGGTTTTAAGTCAGACTTCTTATGTAACCATTATATGACTTAAGTGAAACTCTTCAACAACTCAGTGTTTTCACTACAGTAAGATGAGGATAGTAATAATTTATACATCATAGTGTGGCCAAAGATTAAATGAAAAAGTTGTGTAAAGCTGCATACTGCATAGTAAGTAATCATTACTATGGTTATGACTTACTTAGATCAACATTTGATGCAGCCTGGGGCTGGGGAGTAGGGGGCTCCAGTTCCACAGAAGATGGATACAGTAGAAATATAAAAGGCAGGATGAGATATATTTGGAAAACTCCAGGTTTGATAAATGCGTGGTTAAATATATGGTTAAATATATCTTGCCAGAAATATTTTCCAGAAGTCCTTCCACAAAATAACAAAGAATCTTACTGTCTTCAGGGACTCTCTCAAAGAAATATTGATCAAGATTTATTGTACTCCACAAACTGACATGTTACACAACAACTTAAGGCCTATAAATTAATTAATTAACCTCCTATGTACAAAAAGAAATACTGAGCCATAACAACCACCAACTGTCCATGTAAGTATTCTATTCTCTTGCTTTTATTTCGTCTCAAAACATTTAAATCAGTTTCAAAATCCTTTTTTATTTCTCACATGATCCACCATCATGCCGCACCTTCTACATCCTGTGTTACCACCTGATTGTCCTGCATTTCATATAACAGAATGAATAGCAAAACATGTCTGACAGGAAGATCTGCTTAGCATAATTCTTGATAATAGCTTTCTCATAGTCAATGTATTCTGCTATGAGGTCAGAGACCCATCATTTATTCCATACCATTGTACATCCACCAAACAGGATGACAGAATGGACAGCTGGCCACAGTGATAGCTAGACATAGAAAATTCAGAAACACCCACAAAGTCAACAGAGTGTCAGCATAGAGAGAAAGAAAAAAATAGCACAATATTGGGAATGCTGCATATTTTCTCCCTATCAGACTGACCCCACCCCTGTCCAGCCAATCACCATATTTTATACTATCTCCTAGATATCTTTTACATGTGCACACTTATACCCACCATCCCTAATGCAGCAGCATAAATTCAGAGAACCAAAATGTCTTCCTGGCCATAGCATCCTACCAGATCTTATACCACCTAGAATTTACATCTGGAAATGAGGGAAAAGCATATATCTGACTTTTTACTATTATATTTGCAGTATTAGTACTTTTCTGATAAATACTTTTGACTTAATGCAATGCACTTTCTGTGTTACAACCAGATAAGCAACTAAGCTGATGAGACACTCTTGCTTAAAACCTTCACATGTAAACAGCAAAGGAATCAAATCAAATAAAAAGATTCTCCTCTCTTCTTAGAAGAAGAAAAACAAGAAAAATAGTATAGTCCACAGCAGAATACTAAAAATCCTGGAGCATTTTTTTTCTAGAGACTGACTTTTCTTTATAGCTCTAATCTTCTTCTTCTTCTTCTTCGGTCATGGGGCTTGAACTCTGGGCCTGGGTGCTGTCCCTCAGCTCTTCAGCTCAAGGCGAGTGCTCTACCACTTGAGCTACAGCACCACTTCCGGTTTTCTGGTGGTTTTATTGGAGATAGGAGTCTCATGGTCTTTCCTACCCGGGCTTGCTTTGAACTGCAATCCTCAGATCTCAGACTCCTGAGTAGCTAGGATTACAGGCGTGAGCCACCGACGTCCGGCTTTCTAATCTTCTTTAATGCTCTTTTTTCTCATCTGTTCCTCCACACAAATCCACAGATTGTATCTTAAACTTTTCAGATTTTTCTCAATGACTTCCAGTTAAATTTCATTCCCAGGTCACTTGCTATCAGTAACTCACCCCATTCTAACCTACTCTTCAAACTGGCCAGCTTTCCATTGGTCACAATGCAGGTCAGAATGTCTCCTCTAGGATGAACTGTCTGGACCATGTTAAGTATCCTTACAACAGATCCTCGCCAACCACATTGCATCACAGTCCATTTACCATCTCCCAAAGAAGATTCCAGAAAAATAAAAACCACGCCCAGTATATTTGTGAATATGTGTTGATCCAAGAACGAAATTAATAACTGGTAAATGAGTGTTGGTTGAATGCTGGTGGCACCTTACAAACAAGCAGATGGGGTAGTTGTCAATGTGAGGAGAAAACACGTGTGTGTTATCTCTTTAGGATGAAATCGGGAGATGATAAACATGAAGAAAATGAGAAAAGAAAGAGAACTCAGACAACATCAGTCAAAATGAAAAGAAGCACAAGAAAAGGGAAATTCATATATAACTTTTTTCTTCTGATTTTTTAAATACAAACCATCTTGGACAAAGTGAAATATAATGGGGTGATCAAAGATTTTTCAAAAAGAACACTATCAAAAGGGAGGAGCAAAAGAGAAAGGAAAATGAACAGGACATTTCTTCTTGACCTTGTACGAAAGCCCAAAAGGAAGAAGCATGCCTTTTTATTCTATTTGCTAACCACCATGTTTCAGCTTGAAATTTTCTACTACAGTTTAGCATTGTCACAGTCATCTGTAAATATCTAGTATAGGTATGAGTCAAGCGGAAAAAGTCAGATAATGTGATGTTAGGAAAACAAAACCTCAAATATGTATTTTAATGTTTTTGTTTCTTTCATGCATGTGTTTCTAACGCATTTATAAGATTATTTCTTTGTTGCTTTGTATGTCCCTCCCCCACAGTGTAACCCCTGCTTTCACTATATTTGATGTCAGTATAACATGTGGAGGAGACGGGGACAAACAAGTCGTTTAAGGATTCAGGTGGACCTGTTGCAACAATGAGAAGTACAAAATG